AATTTGGGATTTTAAAAAATAGGTTAATATGTTGGCGGGGGGTTTTTTTTCTTCTTAATTTAGTGCTAATTGAATGATTTTATAATATATTAAAAAGTATGGTCCATAGACTAGAATAAAATACACTCTTTTCAATTCATGTCTTACATTGTATAATTAAATGTATTTGAATGTAAAAAAATTTTTATTAATCACCTTTATTAATTTATTTATTTATTTATTTAACTATCGTAAATAAATCTTAATTTATTTAAACCATCGTAAATAAATTTTATAAATTTATCAAACTTATCAAACTTGTTTAAATATGTAAAATTAAAATACCCATTCCTTTGAAGCTTTTTTCAGTAATAGATGTTTCGCTGTGTCAGAATATGTCTTTTAGGTAAATTAGAATAAAAAACAACATGATGTGTCTAAATACTTACTCTAGAACAATGTAAAACATAGGCTCGAATTAGTCGAGTGCCAATTAGAACTTGAAGCTTGGGGTATCTCCCAGATCTCACCAAGTTTTCTAAGCTTTTAGCATAATCAAATTTATCATTAACAAGTATGTGATGTTCTGGCGTTAAATAAAGTGTTCCTGCGAAATATTAAGAAATATTAAGTGATGTTGGATGTCAATAACGATAATAAATCAATTTATGTTATGATACTTGCCTTCGGTTCCATCAACTGCTCTAAATTCAACTTTTAAAAATATAGTTTTAGCTTCAAAGCTACGATGAGCGATTAAATACACTTTTGAAAACTTTAACGTCCCATTTATTGTGCCACAGCACACTTGATCTCCAACGCGAACCGAAGACATTGGAACAACTTTTCTATTTATAAGTATGACTTGGGTATCAAGTTTGAAACAGCCTCCACTTGCTGCTTTAAGAGCTTCTGCTTCTCTATTCTCCGCGTCTCTAATTTCGTTAAATGTAGCTGTAGTGTATGCACTTCTAAACTCGCTTATCAGTGCCTTGGCTTTTTTCATATTACATAATACTGGTGGACTATCTTTTTTGTACATTTCCGGATTCGGTGAAATAAAACATCGATTATCAACAGAAGTCAAAAGATCCCGCATTTCTTGGTCGAGAGCTTCTTGGAATTGCGGATATTCTGTTTGTTTTTTAGTGAGATTGGTAAATGCAACTATTGTGTGTTCTAGTGCTTGTTCACCAAGATATGCCTTGATCACTCGGAACGTTTTTGAAAAATTTTCACGTTGTTTTATATCTGTAATTTATGATATAATTCTCGTTCAAAACAAAAAAAACAAATCTATATACTTATTTATTTATTGTAAAGAGTTGTAAAGAGTCATACCAACAACGAAAAGAATTGCTTGAGTTCCATATGAACAAACTAGAATGATTTCGGAAATCTTTCTTAGTACAATATCGTTCCTAATATCGCTCATACTCATATTATTAAATACTGCTGGAATCTCGATGAGATTATAGTTTTTTCCATTAATCCGAATTAACCCTGCTTGACATTCTTTAGTAATTGGTGCCTAATTCATGATAACATTTTATGAATATTACGCAAAAGAGAACTAAGTATATGATTAGTTACAAAATATATATATATATATTTAATTAATTACCATAGACCACCCTGTTTTAAATGTCGCGTTTGGATCATCTCCTTGAAACCCGAAAAGCCAATTACTCAGGGTACTTTTTCCAGAACCTATATACAATAAAAGTGTATCTTTTATTTCAGTTCATATTCAGCTGACATTATAATCATTGGAAAATTTATGTATTTACCCGTATTTCCTAATATAATTATCGCAGGATTTGAAATTTCTCTTGCATCTACGGGAGTACCATCAATAATTTCATTATTTTCAGAAAGTTTCATTGTGACTGATGCTAATTTTTTATCTTTTTTTGAAGTTACCATTATTTTAATTTTTTCCTTACACCTTGTAATCCTTTAAACACTCTTTTATATATTCATATTGTACAACAATAATAAAAAAACCTACTTGAATACTTTTGAATATCAGTTAAAACCATACTATATTTTGTGATAAATGTTTTTTTTTTAATTATATAAATTAAAACTCCAAATTTATTCGCTTTTTTGATTGTAAAAGCTAAATAAATGATTTAAAAATCTTAAATGTTATAATGAAATTTTTCAATTGCACTTTGATATGCTTTGACGAATCACCAAGATCATTTACGTAACTATGTACTGTACATAGCTTAAATTATTTACTGATATGTGATTTAATATGATTAGTCTTCATATATGACGAAAATTTTATCAGTTATATATGTTGTAAGTGGGAACGGAATTTAAGTATATTTGGAATTTCTCAGGATTTTTAGGACGTAGGTCTATGCAAAAATAAATTCTACTCTAAAATCGTAGTCTTATTAAGAAATTCTAAATCAACTTAATTTACAACATATATAACGAAATTTTTTAATTATGTTTTTTTTTATGTCTAGTATCTATAAAAATTATTATTTTAATCTTTTTTTAAGGCATTAATGCTCATCTTGTCATTAAATAAAACCTGCCAAATCATTTAAAAATAGCAATAAAGATTTAGGATCTATATTTAAATCTGCTAAGCATACTAACATTCGCATATACTCTTTAATTAATAACTCTTAACCCTAAATAACACATCTCTAAAAAAGAAAATTAACAAAGTGCATTTCAAGAATTTCATATTAAGACAAGTTTAATTTTTAGCATTAGCTAATCTTAGCTTCAGATCTTGGTAGCATTCAAGTAGGTAGGTACGTAAGGTACCTTTCTAAAGCCGGAAAAGGGACTCTTAGCGAAACACTCACTGCGAAGGGTGTATCTTATTTCTTGATACCCATTTTACCTACAATCCATTTAACCGACATCACATAGGGTTTTAAGGTTAGCATTTTATTAGTTGCAGATACATATTAATAGTAAATTCACCCGCGTGATTGGTTAAATGAGTGTTAGCAAAATGGAATGAATCCCACCGCGTAGTGGGTGGGTACTACTACTGATTGGTACTGCTTTTATCTTTTTAAATAATCGATATCATAATTATGAGTCCGTATGTAAAAAAACCGTTTTTTTTTTTTTTAATTTTATTAACAGTTGCAATTGCATAACTACAGTTTATAAATACTTCAAAAGCTTGATATTTCGCAAAACAATTTTAATCACAAAAAGTTTACTATTCAAAGTTATTGATTTATCATTAATAGAAAGTATTGTACGTACGCTTTATATAAAAGTGAATGTATAGCTAATATGCATCTTAGATAGTTTGAGATTATCGGAATTAGTGCCAAAATTAACATTCTTCATATCGAGATAAATAGTATATATATAGTTATTTTGTGGGGTTTCATATTAAAAAAAAATAAAGAATGCCAAAATGTTACCGAAATTACTAATAATTTAAACACATGGCTGTGTCTAGATTATGACTAGGTTATGTTTGTGTCAGTTATAGACTTTGTCGACACGTCATTCTTCAATTTTCACCGATTAAAAAATAACTTGGATTTATTTTTAATTCGTTAAAAAACCTTCCTCAATATCGAGATTATATTTTACGTTTATATAAAAATAAAACACTAAGTTCAATCAATTCTGATATCGTCATTATATTCACAAAACCGTTAATATTATTTTTATGTTGTACTTATGTTGGAAAAAATCAGTTTATCGTTGAAAACATTATTTAAATAAGGGAAATTTACATATAAGCGAAATGAAAATAATTATAAATAATTATAAATAGGGGTCCAAAATGAAAATAATAATATATAAGGCCCAAATTTTTTGAAAAGTGTTACAATCAAGGCTTTAAATTTATCATAACTAATTAGATTGCAAGTTTTTAACATTTAAATTATATAGATGTAATTTTCTTTCAATAGTTAAAATGTATTACTTTTTAATCACTATTGTATTTATTCACTTAGCATCTTGCATGTAAAAAATTAGATCGATTTTTACCAACTTCTAAAAGTAATTTAACTTTCTCTACGAATACAATAATTTTTTGATTCTAAATATCTTCGATTAACGCGTAGTAAACTTTATGAAATGTGATTCATGTTTCATAACTAATCTTGGTATGGGATAGACTTTCAGTTTAGAACCGAATAAATATTAATAGATTGATAAATTTCGTGCTTAACTGTATCTTGGTTAAAAGGAAGTTTCATTAAGCGAAAGAGGGTATAGTATAAAATGAATAAGGTAACACATATATACAGTGATAACGTTCAAAGAATCATTATCGTCAACGTGAAGTTATTTTGGCCCTTAATTGTAATATTTTTCTAAATTTGGGTCTCTTATATGTAATTATTTTCACTTTGGCCCCTGTAATTGGTTTCATTTTCGAGCCCTTATATGCAAATGTCCCTTTAAATAATTGTCGCTGAGATTGATGCAGAAATTTGGACTTATTTTGATATGAAGTTTTTAAAATTTTTTGGTATGTTTTTTTTAGAGTTAGGTTAGGATTTTTGGGCTAGAATTTATAATTAAAGTGTATATGTGGATTTTAGCAGGGTTATATTTTCAATATCAGCTAATTTCAGCGACAATAATTTTTTGGTACTAATTTTCGTATGCAAAAAATTTTTCATAGCTCTTTGTGATATTAAACAAAAACAAAAATTCATTTATATAGTAAACCATATTTGCTAAAAAAAATTATAGAAGAAAAAAGGGTTATCACGACGTACATAATTTTAAATTTACAAATAAGTCAATAACAGCTATAACATAATAGCAATAATATAGAATAAACAAATTTTGCTTGGATGTTCTCTAATCTGTATCCATATTTTACGTAATCACACAATACGTAAAATGATTACAATTCATGTGAGCCTGTAATCACATGCATGCTTTAAATATAATATAATGTGATATAATCGAATTTAATATAAAAAAAAAAGTTCATGTCCCACAAATTTTTTTCTTCATCTCATAAACGTAACACTGTAACACTACTAATGCTAAGATCTATCTCTAAAAGGCTAACTATTGTTACACAAACATTATAAACTTCGAACAAGAGCCCCCTCCGAGAAAATTAACAGATACTTTGCACGAATAATTCACGAGATATATAATATAAAATTACTGATGTTTAAGAGCTTCCGAACAAGCATTGTTCCACATTTCTAACAAACCCATGTCATTGATGGAATCAGATGATTTATTTATTGAAGAAATAGAATTCTCAGAATTTAAACGGGATTTCCGACTAGTATAATACTTTCGATTAATTATACGTCTAGCTAAATAATTATGATTGCCACATTCAGAACATTTTCTAGTATGAGGTGGGCATTTAATATTACAATTTACGCCCTTACAAGTGTAAAGCGGAACACGACACTCGTTACATTGATTACAAAAACATTTTGCAAAGGAACCGTAGTCATGAAAAGTTCCATAGGGGCCTACGGAAATGACAGGAATCTCGGAAGTAATGACCGAAAAAGAATTTTCAGGATTCAATTTGTCGGAAAATTTTGAAGGGTTATTGATGTCCATAATTAGAAAGTTTAGGAAAATCAAGGGAACTTATTAGCAGAGAGAATTGATGACGATCGTAAACATGGTACGCAGGCACGATTTTTTAATAATATTTTTTGAGAAAAGGAACTTTCCTACCGAAATTCATGCATGACCTGACAAAAAGTACATGTGATAATCCTTAATGCTAAATGCAGATAAAAATCTTAAGACTTGGATTTTGGAGCCGGTTTTATTTTTTATATGTTAAAATCGGTTCTAATCGGTTTTAACATATGAAAAATAAAACCGGTTCCAAATTCTACTTAACGCATAGAATAATAATAATAATAACGTAAAGATATTAAGCCTTAGCAATGATGAAAGCGTAAATATGAAAGAAGTGTATGTTCTAATTCGCAGCAATAATTCATCGTTATTTCAATGAAAAAAAATTAATCATTAGTGCTAAGGAAAGCGTGAAGAGAACATTGTGACTCAATTTTTCAAAAGAAATCGTTTCATCGGCAATCATATTTAGAGTATTGGATAGGCCAGAAGAAATTAGCCAGGGTAAAATGGTTTACAGGAAATCATAAGAATCAAAAAGAATCTGAAATTTAGAAGACAATTTATCTAATGCTAGTGAAACTAAAACGGGCTTTCTTCAGAACGGGATACATTTGTTAACCGCGTTCGAGCACCAGAACAACTCAAAAATTATTAGGAAATCTAACTTTAGAAGAGTAAGGATTTCTAAAACGTTGCATTAGCGGCACTACTTACAAATATTATTTGCGGACTTTCTTCAGAACTGGATACATTTGTTAACCGCGTTCGAGCACAAGAACAATTCAAAAAGTATTAGGAAATCTAACTTTAGAAGGGCAATAATTCTAAAAAGTTGCATTAACGGCACTACTTACAAATATTATTTAGCTAGGAAAAGCGAGTATTCACCTGGAGACTTTAGCTGGAAATGACCTGAAAGACACTAATATTATTGAAAATAATGGATAAAGATGTTCAAGCGAAATATCTTGCAACGAATTTAAAATATCAAGCAGACGTATCTCTGCTTATTGATTTCCACTTCTATCCTTTCTTTTCGATCTGTTGACTCTTCTCAACATGCATTAAAAAAAGAAGCTAAATACGTAATTGCTGCCACTTCGACATGTGACACACATTCACAATTCTAATCGGTTAATGTTGACGGACGAACAATGAGATTAATATATTAAGAACCTTTTTATTAAATTAACAACAGTATATATATTTTCGTTTATACATAGTGCTTATGAGACACATTAGTAGCCATGTTAAAACAGTTTAGCAATATAGAAGAGTGAATTTCAGTTTAAGTCAGGAATGAAGAGTGTAATTTACATTATTTGTTGCTTCATATCCAACAACTATAATAATAATGAACATTTTGATTAAAAAATATTTGATATTCTGATTTTTTTATATTTCTGATCCACCCATCTACGTAACTTTTTCATCTACTAGACACATATATCTATTTAATTTAAGTGATTGTGTATAAGTATTGTATTATTCCACTTAATATTTAATTCAGAAACAATTCGTAAAATAAAGGTTTCGCTCTGAAATAAGTACATGAAAGTTATGTTACGTGGATGGCAGGGGACAATCAGTTATATCTAACTACCCATGATATAACATATAATATGTTCTTAAATTCTCACCCAAATTTATGTTACTATTCCATTACGATATGAATCAATGCCATCTGAATTTTCTAGCAGTCAAAGATAAGAATTTGTTCGAACATTCGATATAATAGGAATAGATCATTTAAAGTGACCTTTGGAGAGTTTTTATTTCTAGACGACTTTGGATCGTTATGCAATATTATTATAAAGTTTATCGATGATGCAAATATTATTATAAAGTTTATCGATGATGCAATAATTTTAATTAATTCATCATTTGAAGACGCATCCTGCTTTGTTGTTGTCAATTCGTTGGCAAGTATATTGTATTCATATTTTTTTTTCCTATGATTCATCTTTCTTGGAATTGTAAGGGCTTTTTTTATAGTAGCGGTAATGTTCGTAATATACGTCGGTTTTTTATTCAGGTTTTTAATGTCTAAACCATTTGCTCCTGATTTCCTTTCATTCCTATTAAATTTACAAGTTACTTTTAAATAGAAAAGTCGCCGATCATAATCAATATATATATATATATATAAGAGCTGATAAAAGTCTCTTTCTCCTTCTCCTTTTAACACAATAGCCTTAGACAAACAAATTTCTCTTCCCATCCCACATGATAGTCTTCTGATTCTGTCATTTTCCTATTTAACAGTCGGTCTGTTCGAGCAGGCGGGAAACTATTGACTGATGCTACTCATTTTATTGTCACGATGATATCTGGCACAGATTCTCGAATTACTTAGCTAAAATTACTCACTATGTATTCTGCAGACTTCAAGTCCTTTAATTGAATTTATTTCCGGCACCTTTGGCTAACCCAATCATATGACAATCGTATTTATGCTTTTCGACATGGCTATGTCTAGACTGTTTGGACTTTGTCAACACTTGTCATTCTTCAATTTTACTGGTTAAAAAATAGCATGGATCGATTTTTAATTTGGTAAAAAACCTTTCCCAATATTATTTCACGTTTTTTATAAAAAAAAATAAAGTTCAATAAATTCTCATATTCACAAAACTAAAAAAAAATTTAAAGCTCATTAAAACTGCTTTAATATAATTCTTATGTTGTCATTAGTTTATCGTTAAAATCATTATTTAAATAATTGCTGCGGCTGATGCTGAAATTGATGCTGAAATTTGGAGATGTTTTTTAGGGTTGGGTTAGGATTTGGGCTAGAATTTATAATTAAAGTGCTTATGTGGATTTTAGCAGCAATAATTTTTGATACTTATTTTCGTATACAAAGAATTTTTCTTAGTTCTGTGATATTAATTTCAGGATTTCATTATAATAAATACCATATTTGATAAAAAATTTATTACAGAAGAAAAAATAATTTACGTACGTACGTACGTATAACATAACAGATAATATCAATTAAAAAAATATATATATATTTAACTGGTCATAAACTACGTAACGGTAACACTAGCACTAGTA